GAAATCTTGCAAAATAAACTTTTTCCTTTATTTCCTTCTAATTCAGCCTTTTGTCTTTCATTCATAAATTCGTTCGCAAATTCATTAAAACAAGTGTTTTTAGTAAATGTTAAAATTGATTGAATATCATCAATGATAAAATGAAATCTGTCTATTAGATACCAAAGATAATAAGAAGAAAATGGTTGATATTGGTTGTGTGTTGATGCTAACTGAGTTAATTTTCTCTGTTTCTGGTCAACTGGTAGATTGTTTGATTTCATGTAATTATACATAAAACTGCCAATTGTTTTTTCATCTGTGATAATATCTAAGTTTCTTATTATCGGTAAAAAGTTTATGTAATCATTAATGTATTTTTCATCAATGTGACCCTTTACTTCAGCCACGAATAAAGTATTTTTCTTCTTAATTATTCCCAATGCTTTTGCTTTCTTTGTTGCTGTATCACAAATGATAACACCATTCAATCTTCCCGGCATATACATTTTATGGTCAGTATATTGAATGAAATCATGAGGATTAGATGAAAATGATGAAGGATATAATGAATTAAAATCAACACCAACGAAATGAGTCATAATGTTGGAAGTGTCCTCATTTGATACAGTTTTAGTTTCTGGACTATATGAAAGTTTATTAATGTGTGTGATTCCTTTAAGATTTACTCTATGTTGAACATTTGATAAACCACCAGTAATTCCATTACGGAGAATGTGATAAGCTTCAACCGAATCTAAAGTCATTGGTAAATTATTTTTTAATGTATAATTTCTTAAATTGATTCTTAAACGTTGAACATCTTCATCTTTATTTGATTTCACGACATTGCAATAACAACACATTAACTGACAATTTTCTTTGGTATGTGGTTTTTCATTATCGATTCTATCCAATGTTGGTTTATTTGCATATGTAAACGCTTTACCACACATTTTGCATTTAGATGAAAGGATTAAATCGTGATAGTATTGAAAATCATCCATTGAAACATTATTTTTAGTATCCCTTTCTGCTTTTTCATCTTGTTTCTTATATGATTCAATTTTATATTTCCAATACTTTTTCGTTAATTCAAAACTTGATTCCACATTTTCTTCTTCTGGATATGTTTCGTTAGGATTAAAGTCTTTATATGCTAAAGCGTAACGAATCATTGATGCATTAGATGATAATGAAAGATTATGGAGCATGTCAATTTTATAAACAAATGTTTCTTCAATAATTTTATCAATTGGGTCAATCATAATTTCAACGTCTTTATTGCAATAATGAATAAATATTCTAATCTATTCTCAAAATTTTTAGCATCATTGAGATATATTTGATAATCTGAATCGGATATTGTTTCTTGAGTTAATGCTGAATAAAATGAATCTTGAGTGAATGGTTCCACTTTATATAATTCATCTTCGTAATTCTCCATGTGATGAATTGATAAGGGAAAAAGGATTTAACACGTGATTTATTGTTTCCGAAATCTTGAGTGAATTGGTCTAATGTTCCACCCGCTATATAATTTCTGATGTCAATAAATCTTAATTCATATGGACAGTTTGTTTTCTTTACAATGATTTGCTTAAATTGAGAAGAAGAACCCAGCATTGATTTTATTTTCCATTTTGCAGTGTTTAAATCACGAAGAATTAAATTTAAATCAAACTTTCCCGAATTAAAACCTATGATATTCACTTTATTGAATTCCTCATCTAGAAGTTCTTTAAATGCTTCCTTCTGTTTTTCATTTAATGTATGGGACAAAGTCCCGCCGTTTGGTCCGTTTGCGGCTTCATTAATTCTTCATATTGTTCAATATTTGATTTAGCAACTAATGAACAGGTTGAAAATAAAAATTCAATCCAATCAGAGATGAACGAATCACTTGATGTTAAGCAAAAATTCCTCGTAAATGTTTTATCACGGTCGTCTACGACCTCGCCGCTTTGCGGCTTTATTTTGACAGTTGATGATACCATAAATGGTTTTAAGTAAGCGTTCAAAGTTGCACATTCAGAAAGTTGAAGTTCTTCTTTAGTCTCTAATGTTTCGAAGTCAAAAGTAATATAATATCTTGTTGGTTTATAATATTCCTGCAAATTGTGAGCTAATAGCCATTGATATTATCTTCTGTTTCGTGATATGTGGTGCATATGGTTGTTGTGTGTTTTGCAATTGAACGTCTTGAATTAATCTTCCATTATTTTCTTTACATTTCTCACAATGTTTTAAAAATCTTCTTTGGTTTTTCCTTTCTGGGTCATCACGGATAGAATATACTTCTTCTTTGCAAAAGGGGCAAACTTTATATCCTGTGAGTGCTTCAACGTCTGTAATTCTGTCAGCGTGAAGTTTTCCACATGGACTCTGTGTTAATAAAATATTTACTGTTTCAAATTCTGGATCTATCATTATTGATTCCACTAATGGAAAGTCTACCTTATTTATGTCTACGTCTTCTGGTTGAGGGTCACAATAATAAAAATCAATATTAACGTTTAACATTCTTGCTAACCTCTCACTTTCTGATGAAATGTCAAATCCTTCATATGCATCTATGGCTTCATTTAAATAACTTCTACGAGTTTTAGGATTAACACCATCAGGAATGTTATAGAAGCGTTTAAATAACCTTCTACCTTCGGCTCTTATTTGATTATCATTCATTTTAGCTGTTCCGTTTTTGTTCATTTATGTAAGAATAAAAAATTAAAAAAATAAAATAAAAATAAAGTTTATTTTTTTAAAGTCCAGGGCTAAAGTCCATAAAATGAATTAAGAACACATAAATTTTTATCATCTGCGACGTGACGAATACATTTTAATTTACTCAAGATGCGTACCCTGATACATTAAATCTAATTCCTGTCTTATTTAATTTCACAACTTTGAAAAGGAATGTATGAATAGCTATAAATGATGAGATGATGATTTTTATGGGTTGCTTCCATTTTTTCTGAAATAAATGAATAAATATAATGTTTATAAGTTTTCATATCTTTTATATTCTTAATAACGAATGGTATAGACCTTTCAACTTCGTCTTCCTTCGGTGCTGTTCTTTCATATGAAACATTATTAGTATCTTCAATAATGAAACCACAATCGCATAAAATTTTATATGTACCAATTGTTTTTTTGATATTTTATCTAACAAATCAAAAACTTTATCAACACCTGTACATTTATTTAAATAATAATTTGTGTAAATATCATGGTCTTCTTTCTTAATTGTATTTGTTGCATATGTTACATTTTTCAGTGCTTTTTTGAATTTTTCAGAATCAAGAGGAGGTGAAAGTAATATACATGGATAATCTCCATCGTCAATAAATTGTAACTTATGTTTATGAATAAATTTTGTGCCTTCTTCTGAAAGTGTTTCATCTATTTCACCATCTAATAAATTTTTAGTAGATTCCAAAAAGTAATTTTTATATCTTTCTTCATGAGATTTTTGAACTTCTGATTCTGAAGCTGGGATATTCATTAAACCCTCTACTTCATTCTCATTATATTTTTCAACTTCTCTTAATTCCTTAATTTTTTCATCTATTTCATCTCTTATTTTTTCCAGTCTTTCAATTTCATCATATTCATCATCTTTAATCCGTTCTTCATAATATTCAGGGAAAACATCAGGTTCTTTAGGTTTTTCTTCTTCAGATGTGGGATATAAGAAATTTATAACATCATCTTTATTCATTTTTCCATCATAATCTAAATCATTTAATAACTCCGCGAATTTTTGACAATTTCTTAAATAATATTTATTAACTTCATAACTCGCCTCCTCTAATATATCCTTTATTTCCTCGTTTGTGAATCCCAATTTTTTAACGTCGTTAGTCTTGACACTCATTTTCATACGAATTAAAAAAATAAATTATTCAAAAAATGTAAGACATGAATTTTTAAAGTTTATTTTTTTATTTTTTTTATTTTTTTTTATTTCATTATGGTAGTGAATCTTTCATTCATGAATGATAATTATATCTGATTTCTTTTACTCTCTCATACATACTAGATTTGAAGAATTCGGAACTTTTACCATAATCTCCTAAATGTTTTCTTATCCCTAACGTGTGCCAGTTATTATATGAAACTGTATAAACTTTATCTTTATCTTTACACCTTTCATCACTTCCAATATATTTATATCTCAGTTTTGATTTAGCATTTTCATATTCATTAGCGTTTAATAATTCACAGTCTTCCTTTTTAAATATATGTTTAAGATATTCAGGATTTAATACTCTACGTTTATATGCGCCTAACTTAGTTCTAAAGGTTTTTCTACAAAATTTAGGAATTCCATCCTCTTTAATGTCATCAATGATTTCCATTTCATTATTTTCAATTTCTTCTTCTCGTTTATGAGGTCTTTGATTATGACTCCATTGATTCCATGAAATTAAATATTCTTTATCATTATATTTATACCTCATTAGCTTATTTTGGCTTTCATATTCATTTAATAATTCACAATCTTCCTTTTTAAATTGAAGTTTAACCCATTCAGGATTTAAACAATGTTTAATTAATCGCGGAATATCTGACATCATCTATATATAGCTTCTTTTATAAAAGATAAAAAAATAAATTATTTTAAAATTAATGTTAATTTTTTTAATGTGTTTAGTATATAATATTTATTACTAATTTATTTAATAATGTCGCGCTTTCTTACGAATTCATGACTTAAAAAACGTAAGAAAAAATTTTTATATCATCTATATATAGAAGATGTGAAAATATACCTTCATCTATATATAGACGTAACAAAAAAAGTCACTAAACCCTTCCTATCCTACTACTATCATTTCACTCCCATCAACTTTGAGAGAATAAATTATTATTCACCGTCATAAACCATTATAGGCTCTAGTGTAATTAGCCTTCCGGTGAAGAGACAACTCCGGTGAAGATCACCGAAAATAGAGTTTGAAAGGATTTTGGACGATATAAAATTTTATATAAATTTATTTTCGGAAAAAATATCGATGTATACTGATCTTTACAAGAAATACTATAATGAAGGTACATCCGTAGCACGCAATGCTATTGCTATGGACAAAGCTGGTAATTATGATATGGCAAAAACTTTTTATTTACAAGCAATATCAAAATACAAGCTTGCCCTCCAGCAAAAGGAGATATCAGATATGATGAGAAATCAAATTAATGAAAATATCAATAAATGCACACATAGAGTCGAAGAGCTTGATGATATTATTAGATCTTCTGAGGTTGACAAGGCCGGTGGAGCTGGTTCTGTAATGAAAACAAAGAAAGGAGGACCAAGTACAGGCAAAGATGACCAAGCTGAGTCAAACGAATTTATTAACAAAATGGAAAATTCCATTCTTATCGAAAAACCAGATATTAAATGGTCAGATGTTGCAGGCCTTCAAGAAGCAAAGAGGGCTTTAGTTGATACAGTCATTAATCCAATTAAATTCGCTAAATATTATACAGGTGATCGAGAACCATGGAAAGCCATTCTTCTTTATGGTCCTCCTGGTACTGGTAAGTCATTCCTTGCCAAAGCTACAGCTTCCGAAGCCAACCAATCAACTTTTCTTACAGTTTCCACTTCTGATTTGACTTCAAAGTGGGTTGGTGAATCCGAAAAGCTTATTCGTGCACTTTTCGAGACAGCCAGAAAACATACACCAGCAATTATCTTTATTGATGAAATTGATTCAATTTTATCCAACAGAACAGAGAATGATTCAGAAGCATCTAGAAGAATGAAGACAGAGTTCCTTATCCAGCTTGATGGCGTAGGAAAATCAATGGACGGAATACTTCTTCTTGCTGCAACTAATATTCCATGGGATCTTGATCCAGCTGTTCGCCGCCGCTTCGAAAAGAGAATCTATATACCACTCCCAGACATTGAAGCACGCGAAGGTGTACTTATGGGCCGTTTGAAGAAGAATGTAAATAATCTAACACCTGATCAAGTGAAAAGACTCGCGGCTATGACAGAAGGATTCTCCTGCTCTGATCTTAAGAACCTTTCACGCCAAGCTGCTCATCAAACAATGAGAAAATTCGAAGCCGCCCAATTTTACAAAGAAGTCAACGGAGAATTCTTCCCTTGCCCAGAAAATACTCCAGGATGTGTTAAAATGAACCTCCACGACCCGAACTTCCCAATTGATAAAGTTCCTGTTCCTCCAATCACATTTGAAGATTTCAAGGACGCTATGCACAAAGCGAAGTCTTCTGTATCTCCTAAAGACATACAACAGTTTGAGGAATGGACAGCTTTGTTCGGTGAAGAAGGAAATTAAATTAATTTTTTATTTATTTGTATAATTAATATCAATAAACCAAGCTTTTATTTATCATTTGCCTTGCCTATTTTTTTCTTATTATTTATGGTTTTCGTTTCAAATTCATTTTTAAAATTATAATTATTGTGAAAAAATAAATCAGAATACTTTCAAGAATGTATCTCTCAGAAAGTTTAGAATGATTCATTTCCATTTCCAATACTTGGCATTTTTGAGATCAAAATATCAACTTTTTTTTTTGATATTCAAAGAAATATTCAGTTAAAAAATTTACACAATAACAAGCAATATATTTTTACTAATAATATTGTAAATTATAATAAAAACTATCTTAAACGTTATAATCAACACTATCAGATTGCATACTATCATCATCTTGATGAGAATTTCCTCTATTCTTCATTATGATAATTACTGCTACAACACCAGCAATAATTAATACCGCAACAATTGGAACAGCGATTGCTACAGCATTTTTTGCATTACTACCACCTTGTGAATCAGCAGGATCATCATTTCCTTCATTTCTTTCATTTTCCTTTTCAATTGATGGTGTGACAACTTCAGTTTGAGTTGGAACTGGAGTTATTACAGTGATATCTGAAGTTGTAAACGGAGTTTCATAAGCTGTTTCAAAGGCTGTTTCCTTTTCTGTTAAGTAAGGTGTTTCGTAAGGAGTTTCCTTTTGTGTTAAAAATGGTGTTTCAAACATTGTTACTCCTGGTGTGATATGAGGTGTTTGATGATTTGTATTAAATGGTGTTTCTTTTTCTGTTAAATAAGGTGTTTTAAAAGCTGTTACTGCAGCTGTAGTAAATGGTGTTTCACCTGCAGTCGCAAAGGCTGTAGAAAATGGAGTCATTGCTGCAGTTTCAAAAGCTGTTGTAAATGGTGTTTTTGCTGCAGTATTGAATGGCGTTTCCTTAGATGTTATTTCTGGAGTTCGTGCCATTGTTTCATATGCTGTTACAAATGGTGTTATTACTGGAGTTCGATCTGGTTTGTATTTGTCACAATCCACAGGTGTAAAAGAATATAAATATGACTTGCCATATGGATCTGAAACATTGATGTGATATGTGTGTCCAATTGCATTTTCCTGATCCATCCAGTCTCCAGTAAAACAGTTTACATCCATTCCAAACTTCCTACATGATTCCACATCAGCACGTTTTACAGTAGGATCATCATCAACAGTATATGATATAAGAGTAGTACTACCAATTCCTTGTGACATAAAAGATGCAACTCCAAGGAATTTTGAGTGTACATATCCTGGAGGTGGCCAAGCAACAAAAGGTATTTTTTGTGCAGGTCGTTGTGTATTTGCATTGAAATTAAGTAATTGGACTGTCTCTTTCGAATTTTCGTTATGAGCACTAGCAAACACGACTGGTTCCAAATATTCGTCCAATAATATATGCCGAGCATAATAATTCAAACTGGATGTTTCATCAAATTGGGTTGTTAATGCCAATTTAACCAAATCGGCAACACTCTTTGATTCTGATAAATCCTTACCTGATGACCTTGTTTCAAGGCATGTGTGGCTATATCCACTGCATTGGTTATTAACTTTTGAATTTGCAGTTGCTTGTAATTGCTCCTCGTAGAGATATCTACTTTCCAATCTGGCCAGATCTAAACCACATGCTCTTCTGGCGTAATTTAAAGTATTGAGAGCATTATACTTTTCATTGCTATTGATGGTTTTTGGACAACTATTTCCCGCCTTTGGTGCCATAGATGGGCCATCATGTTCCCAAGAGGCTTTCCAGCTCTTTTGGTAATCTGTACAAACTTCATATTTTGTTCTCTTTTGCAGAAGCTCAAAAGTTATTGCCATTATCAAATGAATAAATTAATTCAAATTTATAAAGTGAAATTTTTATTAAATATGAATACACTATAAGAAATGTTGCTTTTTATTATTATATCTTATGTTTGTAAACTTCAGAAATGCAACGGTCTAAAAACTTGGCTACGAAACAATGACATCATACACAATTATTTTTGAAGTTTTTAATAATTTGTTTTCAAAAAATTCTATCAATTCTATCATGACGGTTTTCTTTCAATTAGATCAACACAAAATATCATAATTATCAACATGTATAAGCAAATTTACTCCAGGGATAAAAAGCTTGATAAAATTTGTATTCAAACGATCGAAGAGAAAATAATCAAATTCAACTATGGAGTGGTTTACTTATAATAATTCTTATCGTAAGATAAAAGTCTCGAAGTGACGATTAATTTTTGTCAAAAATTTTTAGCAGAGAAAATAATCAAATGCATAATGGCTATATTTTTAGATTATTATATATCACTTCACACCCCTAACACAATTTAAATAAAATTCCTAATTCGAAAAAGTTAACGCTTGTCATCATGTACCAGCATTTGCCATATGAATGCCTTTAAATTGAAAAATGGCATTTCTCAAGGATCTGAACTAAAAAAATGGAGAAGAAAATATTGAATTTTCATCAGTTATTATTTTCCAATCGCTTCAATACAATTGCATTATATTTTTGTTAAATTACCTAGTGTATATCGTATTACTGCTAAACGAACAAAATTACATTTATATCATAGATAAGTGTGCAATAAAAAGCATTTCAAGTCTTGGCCATATAATATCTTGGATAAAATTTTATTGTTAGCCACATTAAAATACTAATAAATGGAAATGTCCTATAATAGCAGCTTTTGAATCAGAAATATCTTTAGACATTGCAATATTATAGATATTGTCGTCTTATTCATTAATATTAAAGCATGTGTTAAATATTTTAATGCTTGGTGCTAAATCAAAACAAAATGATTTAGAATTGTATCAAATTCACAAAATTTAAAAATAACATTCTATCAATATCGATTCTCCATTCAAACATCAAAGAATAATTCATTTTTAAAGTGCTTTTTTACTTTTTTTATCTCAATTTTTTTCAATGTCGAAAAGTAATTTCTATGAAGATTTCATAGCGAAGTTTTGTGATATTAATGAAAGATTTGATACTAATACGAATGTTGAATATGATTGCTTATATATCGATGCAACTTTTTTACTTACAACTATTCATTATTTTAATCTCGACTCAAATCAAGCTAAACCAAAGAATATTAATGAACTATATAGTTTACTTGATTCGTTAGTTAACACAGTTAAACCCAAAAAATTAATTTATATTTTACTTGAAGGAATTAAACCATTCGCACAATTTTACAATACAAATAATAATTTTTACATCTTTTAAATAATTGCCAGCTTCATGAATATGATTCAATTTCATTTTTATTAGAAAATCATTTAAAAGAATGGATTTGTGATAAAACAAAAAATGATACATCATGGCGTGGAAGAAAAGTTATTTTGAGTGGGTGTAATGTCCTTGGTGACCAACAAACAAAAATACTCGATGATATTCGAAAAGAAGGTAATCAAAATTTAAGTCATTGTGTTTTCACTTCAGACTTCAATTTCATCATTATGGCATTGAAAACACATTACCAAAACTTTGATGTTATCCTCCAATCAAAACAATTTAGTGAAAGTAACACACTTGAGCAATTTATTTCTGAGGAATCATTAACTTTAATTAAAATCAATAAACTTAGAGCAAAAATCCAAATAGAATTTCATGACAAGAAAGAAGCAATGATTGATGATTTTGTATTTATTTGCACATTGTTAAACAATAGATTTATCCCACAATTGTACAATTCGGAACTTAATCTCAATATTCTAATTGATTGCTATAAACATTGCAAGTTTGAATACAACGAATATATTACAAATAAAGATAATTTCGTTCTTCAAAACCTTAAAAAATTCATTCATTGTATTGTGAGAAATCAATTTAAGGATTCAAAAGATTCATATGATCTTGATATTAATGAAGAAATAAAGTTATATAGAAAAGAAATGAATACATCAAAAGCTAAAGACAAAATGATTTCACATTGTTTCCTTGATGGATTATTATTTACACACAAATTTTATACAACTGGAGTTCCATCATGGACATGGATCTACAAATATCATTTTGCACCTCCTTTAACAGTTATAGAGAGGTTCATTGATACACACATTCCATCAATAAATGATAATGGCCAAATGAATCTTTTGTACAATTTAACAATCGATTATAATGAGAACAAACAACTTCTCCCGCCAGAGATAATTTCACTTAGGAAGAAAGATAAGTATCTTAAGAGACTACTTAATACAAAACGTGTCAAAAGTTTAAATCAGAGATATTCATTTGAAATTCCAGTATATGAGCGGATTATTGAAAGTTTACGCTTTGAATTTTCTACAATTGTGTCAAAGTACCCATATTTAGTTCAACCAGAAGAGCCTATTGTAATTGAAAAACAAGAATTTAGCGAGATTTGTGTTAAACAGGATGAACCAATGATTTTTCAAGATAAGAACTCTAATAATCAAATATCTTCCGCATCAGCAATGACAATATCGAATACAGCAACAAACAATCCTGAATTAAACTTTTCCAGTGTTCCAAATGCTATTTCATTCGAATCAACACATTCGTCTTCAGATACCAAACAAATTTACTACCAAAATACTGCTACAAAAAGACGGAAGACTACCAAGTCAAAATCAACAAAATATCATCAATATGATCAACAAAAAAGATCAAAGCAAACCATATACAGGCCGAAAATAAAACGCATTATTAATAATTATAACACTTACCAGCCTCGCACAAGAACAACAACTAATTATGATAACGGATATAAACAACAGAATGTCCACAATTATAGCTATTCTAATAATTGTAGTTGTTCCAGTAATAATTATGGTTATACTTCTAATAATAATGGTTATGCTTCTAATTACTATGGTTGCGCTTCAAAGAACTATGGTTATGCTTCTAATTACTATTGTTGTGCTTCAAAGAACTATGGTTACGCTTCTAATTACTATGGGTATGCCTCTTATAATTATGATTACGATGAGTCTTTTTCTTTATGCACTTGCTTATATCATATTTTTTGCATTCTTTTATCAATGACACTAATAATTGGATTTATTTTTTTATATAATGATCAAGATTTAGTTCCTGCAAAATTGATATCTGTTTTGCTTTTTTCTGTTCGCGTTTTTATGCTTCATAGTGATGAATACGATGATGACTGTTGTTGCAATTTTTTGAAATCATTGTTAACTATAACTCATATTATAATTTGCTTCCTTTTATTTTTGGGAAGTGATGACTTTTCACTATATTATCTCGGATTACTTATTTTATGGCGTTTCTTCAAATCAAAGCAACTTATACTTGCTTTGATAATTTTATCATTTATGGGTGATCTTAGCCTTTCAATGACGCTTGAATTTTGTGGGTCTTTCTTTTAAATTGATATCAACATATTCCATATATTTTTTCCCTTGCATTGGAAATATTCGGGGGGAGTGACTTTATAAAGCTTGAATTTTGTATTTTATTAATCGTAAATGATAATTATCTACTTGATACCGCATATGTACATTATGATATTAGGGGACTTCTTTTAAATCATATAAATTAACTAATTATAAGCAATCGCAACACTCTTAAATTGAGAGTTGAATTCAATATGAGGAGATAAGAAAATAAAACATCTTTCAGTGTTATTAAAGGAACTTCCTATTGCATAAATTCTAATATAAATTTGGAAAAAATTTCATCATATCTTACAGTTTATTATTACAAAAGACATTCACTCATTATTCTCTTAATTTGATTGCATAAATGAATTTAAACTGTTGTTGATTGCATCAAAGGTATAATTTATCCAGTTAAGGATGCACTAACATTCCATAAAAGTGCTTAGAATATGTAATTATTATGATAGTAAAACTTTGAGGCTCTAGATCCCTTTCGATATTGAGTTGAAAGATTTTTAAATTTTCGAAGAATTTCTGAATAGTATTCAAAAGTGTAAAAATTTTAAAAGTGAATATGTATTTTTCCATAATTCCATTAAAATAATCTTTATTTGCAAGTACCTATTACTATTTTACAATAATTATGATATTTTCTTCTCTTACATTTGAATTTTCTGCACTTTTTTTGATAGCCGTTTACAATTTCCCACCCATGCAACATAGGGACACAGCAATGACTTTTGTTACCTATGTTGTTTGATCTTGTTTAGGCACACTTTCATAAAGCTGTGTACAAAATATCTATTGATTCTTCCATGAATAATTAGCAAATATAGTATTATACTTTGACTTTTTTAAATGAGCAAGCTAACACCAATATACTCATATTGAATTACATTATCCAACACTTCTTATATGAAAAATCAATATAATTGTATAATCAAATTTCAAAAACTCATCAGAAAAAAAAATCAAAGAATGGACTCGTAACATATACTATGCATGCATTTCAAATACGCAAAAATACATGATGGTAAGTCTGTCGCGATTTTTCAAAAAAATCCAGAGGTCGGAATAATAGATACTGCGAACGAATACTGATATCAGAATTTTCTCCCTCATGCAAATTTTATATGGTTTGCATACTGTTGAATAAACATTTATTTTCATAAAATTAGATTTTTTATTTTCATTTTAGTAATATATTTTTAAAATATCGTTCCATCAGGCTTTTATCCAAAAAGGAATATATCATTTTGATTGTGTGAGCCATTCCGGATGTCACATGTTCTTGAGTTATATCTTTTATAAAATTGAGAGGAAAATCAAAAAAATTGAATAGGGTCCATTCAATTTTCCTAATCTAATAACTTCATGAATGTTAATTTTCCAGCCATACCATCAATAGGATAGAATATCATTAGAATTTAAAATATTGTGATGGATTGATATTTTTATATTTTACGATTTTGGCCAAAAATCAATTCTGATTATTGTGAAAAACAAATATTATTTAAAAACATTAATAGAAATAGTAGTTTATAAAAAATTAATATATATGGCAGAATATCAGATTCTAGGTTTAATTCCATCAAAAGTTATACATGCATGAAAAATCTGACATGGTGAGCGCATCCTTAATTTGTTATTTTGATCAAAATTTTTTAAGATAGAACCAGAAAAATGAATATTTGAATAAGTTAGGAATAATGTGATTAATTTCAAATTACAATAGCATTGGAAACAAAATATCTAGAGATAAAAACCAGCAAGTGATAACAATATTGAACATGATACAGGTAAATCTAACAATATCACCAGCTCTTAAAATTATGTGAATTCCATACTCTTTTGAACCCTTTTTTATTTATTAATAGTTCCGTCAAACATTTAAATTGAAGCACATTTTCTGAGCGGGACGGATAAGTTATTAAATTCTTTTTTACAAATTATTCTTTGACATTTCCAATTTTTATCTAAAAACACTCTTGTATAAAAGTCTGCTTAATTTCATTTTTTCCTTTTCACTTTTATTTTTTTTGTCCAAGAGAAATTGACCTATTTTTTTTCATGAGTAGATTTAGATATAGCATGAAATGCTTTCTTTAAATACAACCAAATTCCTGATAAAATTACGCGAAAACCAATGAAATTTCATTTCACTTTTTTACTCGTGAAAAATACATTTTCAATTAGCGGTTATATTTCACAAAAATGTATCCAGGACTCTCAGGCGCATTTATTCCTGAACGTAAAATGATTGACGTAGATGTGAGGAAAGAGGAAAGCATCCTTGATATCGCCCCTCGCTTCGCAGCCTGCGCTTCAAACGGTAATGATGCCAAGGTAACAATCTTCCCAATCGAAGGTAGACCAAAATTCGGACTTTTCCAGCCACGCATTAAGTCTTCCGGAGGATCAGTTACAGCTGTTGCCTTTTCACCATTCGAGCCAAAATTCATTTACGTCGGAACAAGTGGCGGAGATATTACATCATGGGAAATTCCAGAAAATGGCTTAGCATGCGACCTCTCAAAGCCTCTCAACAAGTACGATTCTGGCAGCGAAGTTAAATCAATGGCAATTCATCCGACAGCCAAAACATTACTTGCTGCAGGCCTTCGCTCCGGTCACGTTGTTATCCTTGATGGAAATCTCAACGTCGTTGCTGATCTTGAGCACACTCGTCCAATCAATGCCGTTTCATGGTCATATGACGGCAAATATGTTTACGCCCTCCACGTCGACATGCTCTTGAGAATCTGGGATGTCCGCGCCAAGTCAATTGTCGTAGAGAAGAAGATTATCAACTCTCGCGCTGTTGGCTATCTCGAGCCACTCCCAGGCGACAGAATTGCTGTCTCCTACAACGAAAAGAAGCAAGAAGTACGCATCCTCAACCACCAGCTTGAGGAAGTTGCTGCTCGTACCTTCGAAACAGCTCCAGTTCCACTCAGACTTCGCTACCACTTCACAGGCCTCCTTGTTGCACAAACATGCAAGGCTACAAAGATCAACTTCCTCAACGCCAAGGACTTATCCGACGTTTACGAGTTTAACTGCCCAGATATGATCTTCGCAGCCGCTCCAGAGATCATCCAGCCAGATCCAGATGGCGACAGACTCATGGATCTCACAGTCATCATGGCCGGAAACGTTGCCCAACACCTCAGATTGACAGTTGACAAATCCCATCTTCCAATCAAGTTCCCACCAATGCCAGTCCTCGAGACAGAGCTTACAGCCGAGAAGTATATGGCCGGCGAGAACTTCGAGCTCAAGACTCTTGCACTTAATCCAACAGTCAAAGAGGAGGAAGTTGTCGACGAGGGACCACAAGAAGAAGTCGTTCAGATCGTTACAAGATACCGCTACCTCAACGCTGAAAGTGACCCACCACGTAACTACTTTACTTATCTTCCAGTTGGCATTGTCCCGAACATGGAATTCAACGAAATCTGCACAAACGGCAAGCAGTTCGCTTTCATCGGACAGGGCAATCCATCTCAAATCTGCTTCATGAACCTTGATAAGCCAACTCGCTATCCAATCAACGGAGCTCCATGCATCAAGGATCCACACAAGAGCACAGTCTCATACATCACATACTCACCACATAATCCAAATCTCTTAATGTCTGCTGGTGATGATGGCAAGATTCGCCTTTGGGATGTTCCTGACGTTCTCAAGCAGGATATCACAGAGCCACGCATTTCCCTCCAGATGCCAAAGCGTGTCGGCCTTACCAAGTTCTCAGACGCTGTCCGTAACCTTGTTCTTGCCACATGCCTTACACCAGAAATCGCAATCTGGGATCTCAACAAGGAAAAGCAGATCAGATCCTTCCAGAAGCAATGCCCATCTGTTGTCCAAGACTCAACATTCAACTCATTATCTAACGCAGTTTACTCGGTCTTCAAGGACGGCACAGTTTCTGTCTTCGACCCAAGATCAGAGGATCCAGTCGTCGCTACAGGTCAGTGCCATCCAGGACCAAGACATCGCAGAATTCTCGACCTTCCAGATTACAACCGCTTTGCTACATTCGGTGTCAGCAAAAAGGGCTGGCGTGAGATCTCCATCTGGGATCCAGCCAACCTCTCTGCTCCACTCAAGACAGTCGAATTAGATACACAGTCCTCTCCACTTCTTCCAATGTACGAAGAAGGCAGTGGCGTCATCTACTGCGGCGGCAAGGGTGACGGCAACGTCCCATTCGTTGAGTTATGCCGCGATGACAGAATTATCGCTTGCCAGGGCTCATACGATTCAGCAGAACCAGAACGCGGCCTTTGCCTCATCCCACGCAAGTACCTCGACGTCAAGTCTGTTGAAATCTCTCGCATGCTCAAGTTGTCAACAGAATCTCTTCGTGCTCTTCACTGGAGAACACCACGTAATCGCCAGGAGTACTTCCAGGATGATATCTACCAACCATCCCGTGATACATCCAACGCTCTCATGGAAGTCCTCGATTGGGAGGACGGCCAGACAGAATCATTCCCAGAGTTGAACATCCAGCCAGAGGGAATGAAGAAGCTCTCAGAGGCACAGCCAATCGTCAAGCCAAAGGCAAGGAAGTACCTCCCAGGAGGACAGGACGAACAGGAAGATTTAGCCAACAAGAAACTCACCATCGATGAGATTGTTGCTATGGCTCCAAAGATTTCTACAGAATCAGATGATGAAAAGGAAGAAGAAAGTGATAGCTGGTAAGACATAAGTTATTTTCCTTTTCTTTTCTTATTTTTTTTGCGCAAATATTAAAGTAAAAAAAGTCTAATTTTTTTCTCTTATTATAATAATATTGTTATTTTTAGCCTTGTACACAGCCCTTCTCATAAAGAAAAATTTCTTATGAACCAGATTCATGGAAATATTTCTCAACGATCGTAAAATCGAGCATTCTCAAAATTGAGATGGTAGTTAAGATCGTAGATCAACACAGACTGTTCTCTTTTTACATGAAAGTGGAACTAGAACTGTTAGAAATAAAGTCAAATTAAAAATAAAAACAGTTTATTTTTAATAATAATCATACGATGATCATATCATTCTTTTTTTTTACAATAGAAACGGTTTTGAATCAAATTCAATTTAATTTCAAATTAATCCGCTCATTATTTATCCATGCTTTGTTTATTCGTACTCTTCCATAGATATACCATTGATAAATTAGGATATTACACAAAAGCTCTAGATAAAGAAGGTTCGTTTTTTGATTTTTCATTAACACCCAAAGAATCTGCTAGTTACTATTTGGTTTTCGATGATTCACATTTCCTATATATTAACGAAGAGAGAACTTATTCGCAAGTATTTCCAGTTTCCAATGAATCAATTCGTATCCTCGCTGGAGACAGTATTCAATTTACAGTTGTTTGCATACCTAATAGTTGTAACTCAATGGAGTTTATTAATCAAAAATCAGGTGTTACATTCGATTTCGATTATTCTCAGAAAAAGTATAGACTTAACAAGAATTACTGCATAGTTTTATTATCCATCCATTCAATACAAATCTCATTGGAATCATATCCAAATGATATCGAAGTCGGTTATTCTTCATATGATTTAACAAATCCAACATTATTAACAAACAATTATTATTCACAATGGTTTGTAGGCAGCCAACCACTATGCATTTCAATAAAAGCTCAAACCAAAAATGCAACTGCAAAATTAAAAGTTCAATTCTCATTCCCTTTAATACCATACAGCATTTACAACAGTCTGAAACTTAACTATTTTGCTTCAACACCAATAGATCTTAAACAGCTACCAAAAGTCAAGAATTATGGAATCCATAGTTTATTACTTGACAGAAACTCTGTAACAACTGAGATCTTTGAATACTCATACATAGTATTTACAGATCATACCAATATTTATGGTTTTGCTGCTACATCTAATTCATATTTAGAAATCCTTGGTAAAACATCAATCACAGCCATTTATTTCAACACTTCAGGTACAATTTCACTTCATTCAGCTAGTACTAATCCAATTCCATGCAATTTTATAATTTATAATTTCAGAGAAATCTCATGTGATTCAATTATCACACTTGTAAGACATAACTACAGTTTAACTACTTATGGGTACAATTACACTTGCGTTGCTTTCGCATTTATAAATGGAACGGTTCGCTTTAGACCTAATGACGGATTAAACAAACCTAATGTTATCAGATTTTCTACAGCAGATCGATATGAATTTGAGTTTTATTTATCTGAAGATAAAAGTTTAGAATCATATGCTATAATTAATGGCAGACAATCAAGTCACAAAGCATATTACATCACAAACGAATCATATTCAGAATTAAATTCAATGGAACCAATTGATCCAACTGAGAAATCTTATAAATATGGCCTACCTATTGAATTAATTATTGGAATCACAGTTGGAATAAGTCTTCTGATTGGTGCTATTATAATATCTGTTGCCTGTTGCAGGACATCAAAGAAAAAGAAGGATGGATCTCTTGAAGTTAGTCTTGTCGAGAAAAGTGATGCTAATGCAATGCCATTAGAAGTTGCTTGTAATACTCCTGCGTCACAAGATTATAACCCACAACAACAATACAATACAAATAATGATAATCCTTATCAATAAAGCTTTTTTTAACAGTTAGCGTGAAGCATCATTGAAATTTCACCTCAAACACCAAAGTTGAAGGCCATGTCATAGGAGCATAAAATCTATTGTTCCTCACAAATCTCTCAAAAAATTGAGAATAAAATAAATTTACCATCTTTCCATAAATGATATATTGTTAGTGATATATCACCAGAAGAAGTTTTCAGAATTGCTTTAAACATATTAGATCATAAAGAACAATTCAAATAATATTAAGCTGTTAAAATTTCTTTTTTTTTAAATTTGTATTTACGAAATACTTTTTTTTTAATTTAGACAGAATACATATAAAAACATATTTACTCTTGTGTTTGGGAAGCATCCTTGCCCTTCTTTGGATTACCAAGGAGAACCTTGTGGATGTGTGGAACAACACCAGCAGAAGCAATGGTGATGTTGGAAAGTAACTGGTTCAATTCTTCATCGTTACGAACGGCAAGCATGATATGACGTGGTGAGATACGTGTCTTCTTGTTATCACGAGCAGCGTTACCTGCGAGTTCGAGAACTTCGACTGTAAGATATTCGAGGACAGCGGCCATGAAGACTGGAGCACCGGCACCGACACGTTCTCCGTAACGGCCTTCACGGAGGAATCTGTGAAGACGACCGACAGGGAACTGAAGACCGGCACGGGATGAACGTGTCTTTGGATGTTGGCGTTCTCCATCTACTGCTGTCTTTGTAGCTGTTTTCTTGACACCCTTCTTGGCTGGCATTAACAAATAATGAAGTGAGTATCATCCCGCCATAGGAAAATTTAGGTATTGAAATTATTCGGGTTCCAAAATGACATTTTCCAAATTTTCCAAAAATGCCATTTTATGTCTTGCAAATTTAATAGAGAACACCTTTGTCAATAGCGCCAAAAGTGAGATTTTACTTAATTATCTTAGGCTAATTAGTGGTTTATTTATATTCTTTACTATACACATTCCTCTGATCTTAACAAAATTCTCTTTTTATTTTTAAAATAGTGTGAGGGACTTCGTTGACTACAAAGATATCGACCAAAATTGTTCTCATTATGCTTAACATATGAAGTATAGTAATAGGGTGTATGGACTCATAGATTGACTTTTGTTTGATTTCGAGATAAAAATATTTCGCAATATCTTGCATAATTTCGTTTGAATTAACACTTTCATCGTTTTTTATATCTATATATAAAATATGCACAAATAATGATTTATAAATAAATATTTTTCGAATCGGGTAAATAAATCAGTAGATCTTGGATTTTATTAATCATTTCATCCTAAAATGAGTTTGTGGTGATAATATCTGTGTGTTATAGTTGGAGCATTGTTAATTTGTACGAAATATTGATAAATTTCAAAAACGATTGATATTTGACTGTAAGCAACATTAAATCTGTATCTCATAATCAAGCGGAAGGTAAGCTGAGATATTTGGGATTTTATCACCTGATAGTATTCATAATACTATACTAGATTGACTAATCAATCAGTTGTTTCATTATCGTTTTAAATTTATTATGCATAAATAGTACTTTGAATATCATTGGTAATATTTCGAAAAAAAAGGTATCAACTTTAAAGCAAGATAACATACCCCTTTTTTTGGTGAAAAAAAATGTTTTGGTGAAAAAACGGTTATTTCCCATCAAAAAGTGAACTAAGCTGGGTGACTTGGTGATACTCTCCCTATTATATCCTCACCTTTTTGACACTCATATGAGAACTGAAGCTTATTCGCTTTGCAAACAAGATTGGATATGATTTTTATATGGATAAATTCATTAGCTAACCTTGCTTGTATTAGCTAATACGTTTTCAGGCCATTTTTAGGGAGATTATTTTGATAATTTCAACAAAGCTCAAGAACTACAATTACTAACAACATGGTTCGCTACAAATTCCACAAAATATACGATCTGCACTATCTTTTAATAATTGAAATTAAATTCAATTAAAAACTTAATGATTTGCATATAAAATTGACATAGTTATCATATACTACTTCTAACAAGACTTTTCTGAAAAAATTAGTATAGTTGAAGTTTTGCAAGGTTATTCTATTTTAAAATTATCTGATATTATATTCCAATGCATTTGCAATCATCAAAATTTAAAAATAATGACTTTTCTCTCAATTTAATTTGCAATAAAATTCGCAGATATTAGATTTTAATTAATATTAAAATATTGGCCAATAAAAACTTTTGATCAATCCACTTTTAAAATCGGAAAATCGTGAATTTTTAAAACACGCTTCGAAAACAGAAAAAAAATCGAAAAATGCAAATCATCTCAAAACTCGCCCATTTCAAGATTTTTCTTTAATTCGAAATAGCATGATGCTAAAGTATCATACCAAAAGGTGTGTATATTGACGAGAATTGAAAAATATCAATCTGATGAATAGCAAAATAAGCATTTATAATTGAGGTGAAAACGATAAATCTCATTTTGCCTCTCAATTTTTCTGAGTCTCTCAATTTTTGTAGTGGTCCCTTAAAGGATGAGTTGAAAATCGAATAATTGGATGTTTGTAATATTAATATTCTTTAGTCCATAATAAATCATTTTTCATACTAATAATGTGGAACGATTTTCTGCATCTTTTGGATCTGCCACTTTTTAAGATAGAAACGGTTTTCTTTCAAATTCATTTTATTTAACCATGCTTTGTCTATTCGTACTCTTTCAGAGATACACCATTGATAAAACAGGATATTACACAAAAACTTTAGATCCAGAAGAAGGTACATTTTTTGATTTTTCATTAACACCCAAAGAATCTGCTAGTTACTATTTGATTTTCGAAGATGATTACATAGATGTTAACGAAGAGAGTATTTCTTCGCAAGTATTTCCAGTTTCCAATGAATCAATTCGTATACATGGAGGAGAAAGTATTCAATTTACAGTTGTTTGCATACCTAATAGTTGTGACTCCATGGAGTTCATTCATCAGAATTCAAATGCTACATTTGATTTCGATTATTCTAAGAAACATTATGAACTTAATAAGACTTACTGTACAGTTTTACCATCCATTAATTCAATTCAACTCTCATTGGGTTCATATCCAAATGATATCGAAATCGGTTATTCTTCGTATGATTTAACAAATCTAACATTAATAACAGAAGATTATTCACAAAAGTTTACAGACAGTCAATCGCTATGCATTTCAGTTAGTATACAAGTCTTGGGTACTGTGGCACTGCGTTCCACCTTACCCAATACTTGTGAATTTGACACTTTACAAAACCGTTAACGTATATTTTACAACACAAACGACAACACTAATTTAATCTTAAATATTTATAAAGCCGCCAACCACTTCACTAACGAACTCACTAATGTAAAAATAAACGTTCTCACTATCGTTCTCACTAACGACTTCACTAATGTTCTCATAAATTTTCCTCAATATCTTCATCATCAGTGTTAACCCTATTGTAGTCATACTTGAAGCCATAAACTTTCTCTAACTTCTTAACGTACAATTTACATAACTTACCTTCGTCATCGTATGGTTTAATGATATAACTATTTCTATCTTTATACACAGTCAATGAAAAGTCAACTGGTCTCGGATGTATTTGAAAGAACATGTTATGCTCAGGAAGGAAGAATAAATGTTTAAATGTATGTTTGTTATACTGTGGAATTCGAATGAGTTGCTTTTGTTCTGTCATTTACATCCAAATAAAAATTTTCAGTAAAAATAAAACTAACGTTAAAAATTTCTCATAACATAAACGTTCTCATTACTTTATAACTCTCTTCCTTGGTTTCTTTTTAGTTGCTTTCTTCACGTCTGTCTCCAGCTTAACTGTCTTTCTTCTTCGTCCGTAATGATACCAGTTACTTCCACCAGTCAATGGGTCAAATGGTCTTTCGTAAGGATTTCCATACATTCCATAGGGACCATACGGAAGAACTACTGGTGGAGGAAGAGTTCCATCGACTCTATTTAAATGCATTGTTTCACCTTTCATCTGGTCATTAAAGTCTTTTGCATGTTTTGCAAACTCATCGTCCTTTCCTAAAGCATTTTCTGACTCAGTCGCAACCAAATTGGATGCTTTATTTATGAGTCCTATTTTATTTAATCTTAACTTCTTTGCAACCCAGCCTCCAATCTTTCCTTTATTTGCATCTAATGTCTTTGAAACCCTTCCTCCACTCATTTTATTTACTGCGTCATAAGCTCCAAGTGCTTTTGCTCCAAATGCTAATGCTTTTGTTCCCATTGCGCCTAAAGCTGCCCAAGCTACCATTTACACCATATTAAAATCATCTCTCTTCAATATTATCTCATAAAAGTTCTCGTTACTGGAGAAAGTCAATGAAACATAAACATTCTCATGGACTTCGCCCTCACCGCTTCGGTCTACGACCTCAGGACTCAAAGAGTCCGTTTGCGGTCTATCTAACTTCTTTCTTATATCATCTATACGCTTCAAAATGTCTGAACAATTGCTAACATCTTCTACAACAGTTATTTCATCATGAATGACCTTCAAGAACAAGCTCATTTAATATGCTATTAAAATCATTTCAATAATGAGTCCATCCTTTCCATCTTTAGGTAGCACAACATCTTTCATTGAAGAAGGTTCGACAAGTCTTATGTTAAACTTACTGACAAAGTTTGTTATACTATAATGCTTCGGTGGCGAATACATGTAGTTTGAAAGACATAATATAGATTCTTCAGCAAATTCACTTATACTGGATTTTATAACAATGTTCTCACGAGACCAAATACCACCAATTGACAATCTTGTAAGCAATCCTGCTGAACCTTCTACTGTAAACGTCGATGGTAACATTCCACGAAGGTCATCTATTGACATCGTTGAGTCACTGAATTTAAATATTTCTTTAAAAGCAATCGTCATTATCTAACCATGCAATAGCTTTGAAGTTTTCATTCGAATATACATCTGCTTCATTAAATGTAAAACCTGACTTCTTTGCAGAGACGACTTTAAAATC